CTCGATGGACCGCTCCCGAAATCCCAGGTGAACCCTGTTATTCTCTGCAAATACCACCTCGCCAGGATCGCCCACTAGACCCCAGGTAGGGTCGTCCTCTACACTGATGGTTCTGTTGACCCCGCTACAGGTAGGGCCGGGGCTGGTGTCTACATGTCCCGTCCTGATGCCCCTGAGCCTGTCAAACTGTCTCTCAGAGTTTCTGACGGGGCATCCTCCACTCAGGCTGAACTAATAGCCCTCCTTGCTGCCCTTCTCGGTGAGGAAGAGGCAGATGGTTTCTGCCCCTTGCTTGTTTGCTGCGATTCCAGGTCTGCTCTCGACGGGATCGCATTTGGATCAGGGGAAAATAAGGACCTCATCCTCCGAATACGAGGGTTAACATCCACACTTCAGGATGCAGGCCGTCCTGTGACATTCCTATGGATACCCAGTCATGTCGGTATCTTGGGGAATGAGGCAGCAGATGGCCTTGCCAAGACTAAGTTGTTCCTCGAACACTTTTACAACTTAGGACCCAAATTCGCCGCAAACAGAGAGAAGCTCGGGATGCAGCCATCCCCCCTAGACTCCCCGCCCACCTGGTACGATGTCCTCCGTAAACTTCCTGACCTCTCGTACGTCTATGGGAAAGGGTCGCGGAAAGGGGACGTGATTGCTGCCCGTATCATCATTGGGTAAGACTTTGCTTGGGAGATTGGTATCCCCGCATCCCCTGAGCAACGCTCTTGTGCATTATGCAGAAGACCCGACAGCAGCACCCTTATCCACTACCTCCTAAGATGTCCCCACACACAACGCTTCCGTGACGCCTGCTGGACCACCACTCCACGACCCCCTGACGGAGACACGATGATCCTCCCCATACTGGCCAGATATTTTGTAAATAACAATGATTATGTGTTAAAGGAATATCCTTCCTTCCTTAGGTTTTAGTAAGCCTCTTTATAATATTTATACTGTATATACTTGTCACACTTGCCAGATGTTTCTGGTGTCATTGTACAGGGGTACCTAGTGACAGCACTAGGATCCCGCTTCCTCAATCAAGGAATAAACAATTGAAATTGAGTGCAAGTTTCCCCAGATATTCTTCAATGGTGACAACCGCTTGATAATATTCAAATGGCTATATAGTATCTAACAGACATATTATTGAGGTTATCTAAAAGAAAATGACTTGATTTTAAGATAATTAATTCCAGTCAACGAATGATTTTAATTTATCTATTGGTAGGAGAATGTGATAAATAAATGTCGCTATTTTCAACAACTTTATTAATCCCCAAACCAACTCAGAGAAACCTTTGCATAGTACACGTTTAAACCCTTCAAACACAGTCTGTTATCTCCCTTCTGTACTAGTCTTCTTTTCTTCTGTTACGATACTTCATTTTCTATATTATCATATCATCACAATCCATCGTGATATATAAAGCTGTAATGATGTGTTACGAACCACGCTATCTATTGTCATGATCTACCTACCCAGCACTACGAACCACGCCATCTATTGTCATGATCTACCTACCCAGCACCACGAGCAACGCCATCTAGGGACGAAACCCGAGTATGACTAGTCTTAGTCACCACTCCGGGGTTTCCCTTCTCTATATCCTGGTTGTTGCATCGCCTCCTCCAAGTCTTCCTCATCAGCTCCAGATCGAGGAGAGTTCAGTTCACTCTGGGAAGTAACCACACTAGGATCACCTATCCTGGAAACCTACGGCACAGTGACTACCTACCATCTTCTTCAATACTCAGCCTTACTCGTCAGACATCTCAGCTCCGCACTTAAGTATTTGTTATCCTATATTGCCTCCCCACCTCCACTTGCTTCTAATTGTTGTATGTTGTATAAATATGTATATAATGTTAAGCCAATGTTGCGTATGTTTAGGTTAAGTATGGTTGAGGGTAAATTATAGAAAGCTGAATATTTTGTTAAGGAATTTATGGTACTTTATTATACACAACAAAAACTTGCATCCTTTGTCTACCTTTTTATAGTCCGATTGTCTTTGTTTGTTTAAGTTTTTTATTGTTGTTGCCTGTTGGGATCTGGGTAGACTTTTTACTATATTCTAAATCCCCAACTCGTAACAGATGGTTCAGAAAGAGAGCACTAAGGGTATCATTGTTGTTTTGTGAAGTCTGCCGTCCAGCATGCACATAATAACCAAATTCACCAGTCGCCTCCACTTATCCCCTATCTCCTCTAAAGGTAATAATACCCTGTACTGTAATTAATAGGCAACACAGTGTTGATGGCATCATAATTATTTCAAGTTAATCTTAGAACTGGTGTTTACTGTGGAGATGAGTGGAGCCAGCCAGAGGAATGAGATTGACGTTCATTGGTTACTTATTGAAGGAGACTGACGCTTATTGGTCACTTATTGTAGCGCACAGAAAATTGTCATATAACAGATTTACAGGTATATAATATAAAACAACATATATAAAAGTATATTTATATTTACTGTATATATAGTAGTGAAATCTGAGAACCTGTACTATATTATATAAATATATAAATATACTTGTATACATGTTTTATATTACAGTACAGTATATAAATATATTATATGAAAATCTTCTGTGCTGTTGAAACGAGTTCATGGGCAAGATGTACAAAGGATGTGATGTCTGTTGTGATTGGCTGATGTCAGATGTGCTACATTAAAGTGACCAATGAGCGTCATTCTCCTTCAATAAGTGACCATCCTGAAATCTGAGAACCTGTACACACACTATTCCGAGATAAGACCTCAGCAAGAACAGCCCTGAAAATCCTTTGGAAGCAGGTGAAGACTGTGAGACTCTATCCCCCATCTTCAACCCCTCCAGAGAAGCTGAACCTCCTCGTCCTGAAGAAGTTATTTACTTCTTCAGGTATTGAAGGGGTTAAGAAGGTCGTCGGCCGAGTGGTGGCCTTATGGTTACCTTCGGTGACTGGGGGCAGGCCAAACAACTGAAGTAAGTTACATGCACTAATAACGTGCCAGTTAAGCTGCGCGTCGACTTTTGGGACAACGCTATGTGAAGGGTCATCTACCACACCGAACTCAAACATTTGAAAAACGACAAACTAGAAAAACTCATCGGGAACGTTGTAGCTCAGAGGAAACCTTTAAGACCCAACGGGCAAGCCACCTCCGCATTGGCCGATTTCCTCGGCATACTTTCCAAAGAGTTTTTACTGGGATGGGACACCATCCCAGTAAAACCATACGTATAAAGACCAATGAGGTGCTACTATTGTCAGCACTACAGCCAGGCAGTGAAGAAGTGCTAGGCTAGGGAGGTCTACACCACGTACGGGGCGACCGGGCACCAGCATACCATGTGTTTGGCAACAAACAAGAAGTGTGCAGCTTGTGGAGCTCCTCATTCCTCCCCCGACTGGCTGTGTCCTAAGTGGAGGGAGGAGTGTATGGTAGCCAAGTTGTGAACCTAGAGGAACCTTACATACAAGGAGATTCTCCTTGTAGTTAAAACCAAGAAATAAGAGAATGAAGAACTACAACAAGAAAATTAATGAAGAACCGAAGAAAGAAAGAACAAGAACAAGATAATGAAAAAAAGCAAGAACAAGACAACAAAGAACAAGAAGCAGGTAAAGGCCAAACTAACACGTCTACAGCCATAATAACTGGCGCAGTTGATGACCAGGAAAGCAAATAAAGAAGAAGAGAACCTGTAAACACATGACAGGACAGTTTCAAGGGACAATCCAAGAAGACCAGACACCTTGGCAACTACACTGACTAACATACCCCAAACACAATACAGTATAGGATGTCCATTGACTAACATTCATGTTCTTTATTACTGCTGAGTATCGAGACCAATGAAATATAGAACCTTGAACCTTTTTTTTATGGTAGCACCCTGTTTGGAGATGGAGTCCAAAACCTCTCACTTTTGAGGGTAGTGCAGGACCCAGTGTGCAGGAATGTCCTGGAAGAATGGGTGACTCACCAACTGTAACGGCTAACCATTAACCCAGAACCTGATCCACTAACACCCAGGCCACCAATTACTACTGGGTGTACAGGCAAGCAAATACACATGCATACACAAAAATATACCTACTAACTACAAGCTTGTAGTGGATTTCTCCCCTACAAACGCTGTTTGTCGCTGCGTAGCCGACCCCACGAATTCCACAGTGTGTGCCTCGTGGTCTAGGTCAACCAGCGCCGCCATACATCACGGAGCGGGGGTCAACTACTAAGCCTCGCCTACCCCCCGCTATTTAAGACCTGACCTCGTGGTGACCTGTCTCTTTCTACCTACACCAACCAGCCAGCAACACCTCCTCCTCCTCCGCCTGCCTGGTGGTCCTCGCTCCCGCCGGCGAGCATGGCGACCCACAAGCTGGTCCTCCTCTGAGCATCCTCACCAACCAGCTCTCTCTACATCACGCTTGTAACCATGCTGCCTTCCCATCACCAAGCTGCACTGTACATCCAATACAACATGTATACAGAGAGCACATTGTGAGTTTCCTTTCTCCATCCCATCCTGAGTGTGAACCAAATATCTCGTACCCCAAAATACTACAGACGGGCAAGGGGTGGCCTACAGTAATTGAGGTGTATGTTAAAAAAGTAAAGTAACATAACATAAGAAATATAAGAGAAATATAACCTTTTCCTTTTCTTTTTTAAATTTCTTTCTATTCTTTTTTCGCCTCCTAGGGCCCCTTGTGGGTCGCTCGACCTGTGCTCGGATGGGCTAATCCTGTAAAAAAAAAAAAAGTTGCGTACTAAGCAACGAAATCAGTTGTAATTTTTTTTTTATAAATTCTAAAAAATCTTCAGATGCTTTAGAAAGTTTTCCGAACCAAAATGTAGCCTTAAGCACCAGACAGAACCTACAGAAAGCGTACTGTCTTAACCTATTATTTTATTAAAGAAAATTATTTTTATCTAGTTACTAGAGTTACCCAAATAGTTCAAAGAAAATGTATGTCTTGTTTTGTGAATCTAAGCGACCCGACGGATCAGCTGAGCTAAAAACAACAACAATTACCATCGGCCGACGGTGTAAACAAGTGTAAGCTGAAGGAGATGTAAACAAACGTGAGCTCAAGACAATATAAACAAATGTAGGTATTATTTGGGTAATTATATAGGACTAATCCACGAGAGAAATTGATTGAAAACGATTACAAAAACCGCCGGATTTTCATTGTTATATTATAGTGAACAACGTTGTAGTTTGTGGAAATATTAAAAAAAAAATTATTAAAATAAACTCTACTTAACATTTGTGGGTTATGAAGAACCGACCTAACCTAACCTAACCTATCCTAACCAAACCTACCTACCCTTACCTAACCTAACCTAACCTAACCTAACCAACCAAACCAACCAAACCTACCTACCCTTACCTAACTTCCCCGGTATATTAAACAGAAAGAACTTACTATGATATGGTGAAATTTGAGGCATGTTCCGGACGTGAGATGACACGACCGCATCGGCGCTATGCAGGTGGCAGGTTAGTCCTATATATTAACCATTATTTCTTTAAATGGTAAATACTGTACAGATGCTGTAGCTACTTCACTCCTGAGCAGTTGCTTCACGGTCCGACTAATTACCCAAATGTAGCCAAATTAGTCGCAATGAAATCAAATAATGGTCCTACATGAATAAATCGGACTGCTAATCACTTCTCGACTAGTATTTGGTGTCAGAAAGTCAAAAAAAATTGGAAAACTTACTTTAATCTGAGTTAATAGATCGCGTGCATGTACCGACGGAGCGAGGAATTACCCAAATGTAGCCGCAATGAAGTCAAATGATGGTTGTACAAGCGTAATTCGGGCTGTGAATCATTTCTCGATTATTATTTGGTGTCATAAAGTAAAAAAAAAATTGGTAAACTTAATTTAATCTGAGTTGTGCTGTGTTAGGTTAGGTTAGGTTAGGTACATGCACTCGATCTATTAACTCAGATTAAAGTAAGTTTTCCAATTTTTTGTGACTTTCTGACACCAAATACTAGTCGAGAAGTGATTGGCAGTCCGATTTATTCATCTAGGACCATTATTTGACTTCATTCCGGCTATATTTGGGTAATTCCTCGCTCCGTCGGTACATGCACGCGATCTATTAACTCAGATTAAAGTAAGTTTTCCAATTTTTTGTGACTTTCTGACACCAAATACTAGTCGAGAAGTGATTGGCAGTCCGATTTATTCATCTAGGACCATTATTTGACTTCATTCCGGCTATATTTGGGTACATTTGGGTAATTAGTCGGACCCGTTGCTTCAAGTTTATAAGGGATTCATTCGTCCTAACATCGACTACTGCTCTCATATCTGGGGTGGCTCTTCTGTCCATTTGTTAGATAGGGTAGAATCAAAGGCATTTTGTCTTATTAACTCTCCACCTTTTGTTGACGATCTCTCTTCCCCTTCTCTTCGCCGCAGTGTTGCTTCACTCTCTCTCTTTTACAGGTACTTTAATGGTCAATGTTCGGTGGATTTGGCATCCTGTGTACTGCTGGCTAGGTTGTGGGCTCGTAACACTCGTCTTGACAGCGGTGCCCACCATTTCTGTGTAGTTGTCGGTCACGCTAGAATAACCCGTTATAGTACATCCTTCTTTCCCCACACAGCCAAACTGTGGAATGCTCTGCCTTCTTCTGTGTTTCCGTACTCTTACAATCTGTTTCACTTCAAAAAGCTGGTTTTCTGGCATCTTCGTGGTGTAGATTAATTTAGTCTTTATCTTCTATTTTTAATTTCTTTTAATTCCTATTTTTTCACCCCCTAGGCCCAGTTGTGGGTCGATTACCTGTGCCCGGGTGGGCTATTCCCCGTATAAAAAAAAAGAAATAGCCTACCTTGTGGCCACAGTCGAGCCCCCCAGATTCCCCAGGTTCTACCATCAGAACCTAACATAACCTGGGTAAATTTGCAGTAAAATTTCACTTGTTGCCAATGTACGAAATCGAAACTGAAACTATGTTTTTCCGATGGTTTTGATGTCTCACCTACCATACCTCTGTGTCACCTACCATGCCTCTGTCTCACCTACCATACCTCTGTGTCACCTACCATGCCTCTGTGTCACCTACCATACCTCTGTGTCACCTACCATACCTCTGTGTCACCTACCATACCTCTGTGTCACCTACCATACCTCTGTGTCATACCTACTGTGTCACCTCTGTGTCACCTACTATGCCTCTGTGTCACCTACCATACCTCTGTGTCACCTACCCTATGCCTCTGTGTCACCTACCATACCTCTGTGTCACCTACCATACCTCTGTGTCACCTACCATACCTCTGTGTCACCTACCATACCCCTGTGTCACCTGCCATGCCTCTGTGTCACCTACTATGCCTCTGTGTCACCTACCATACCTCTGTGTCACCTACCATGCCTCTGTGTCACCTACTATGATGCTTCATTCTTTGCCTGCAGTGCTGGTAAGTGTTACTTTTTTTTTATTTAGTAATTACTTGTACACATATATGGATCAATACTTTTTTAGTGTATTTTTGTAGGAGGTGGGAAATGCCTCTATAAGTCGGAATTTGGGATAACTCGGCAAGGCCAGAGCCCCATACGTGCTGAGTTATCAAGGGTTTACTGTGTATAGCTGACAGAACTGTGACAAAAATATATAGATAAGTTACAGTCCATGTGTGTCTCACCATGGCTGAAGAAGGTGAGGAGTTAGATATGTGTGTTTCAGCATAGTTGAGACTGCGAAAGACAATGATTATGATACTAGTGATGAGGAAATTGACATGAAGGGTGTAGCTAGTGAATGTGAATATATTCATGATGAAAATATAAGTGGTTCTTGTGATACCAGTAGAGACGTGAGTGACAGTGATGGGGGCGAGCCAAGCGTTGTGTCACATGTTGGGACTGGTGTATGGATGCCATTACTTGATGATGATGTATGCCCTCCTTCTGTGCCATTTACTGGAGTCAGTGGACTAAAGCACCCCCCTAATAGTGATGCAATGCCTATAGATTATTTCAACCTTTTTCACTGATGATATAGTCAATAAAGTAGTTCAGGAAACCAATCATTATGCTGAGCAGTAGATAGTTAGTCATGAATAGTATTTGAGGGTAAACATAGATCTATTGTACAGTTATGGATAAAACAAGGTAAAACGTCAGTAAAGGAATTCTATGCATTCCTGGGAGTACTGTTCAATATGGGATTGATGAGAAAACCTACTCTCAGACCATACTGGGGCTGCTCTAACCCAAGCTAGTCATCCCATGGTTTTGAGAACACTTCAACAGGGAAAGGTTTGAATTGATTGTGAAGTTTTTGCACTTCAATGATAATGCTGCTATGCCCCAATATCATGACCCTTCATACAAGCCATACAAAATCCAACCTCTTATTGATTGTTTTCATAAAAAGTTCAATAATATTCTGAATGGGAAATCTCAATATATGAGAGCATCATTGTCTATACTGGCAAAACCTCATACAACTCCTCCCCGACTTACGACGGGGTTAGGGACCCAAATCCAGGTCGTAAGTCCGAATGGTCATAAGTCCGACATAGATAAAAAAAATTTTTTAAATTCTACGATGAAATACAGTACAGTAAAAGTAATAAATAATGAGGAATGGATACAGTGTGACTGAGCACTTACCTTTAATGTAGTCAGCTGAATGCACACGGGGGCCCCATAATTTTCTAATTATACATGGAGACTACATTAACTGGAAACGTTTCGTTATAGAAAATGCGCTCGTCATTTGAAGAAAAAAAAATTGGTCACAACTGCCGCGGTCGTATGTTCCGACGGTCATAAGGTCAGCGCAGGTCGTAAGTACCGATGGACGTAAGTTGAGGCAGTCGTAAGTCGGGGACTACCTGTATATTATTATTTTTGTTATGCAATCGGGAAATAGCATACTTATTATATCCAGGTTGGGCATGCTACAGCAGCCAAGGGGGTCCTTTAAGTTACGGACTCGCTTTCTGAGTCCACTGATAAATATTTGTTTTGAGTATACCGATCAAGGACTGTAACTCCAGTTACGTGATAAACAAACAGATACAGTCCCGTGAATGCTTTTGAGTATGTGGCCCCAGTACTGTATATCATATTAACATGCTTGGAGAGTTAACTTAGATTAAGTTGTGGGATGATAATTGCCATAATCACATTACAAAAATAAAGACTAATACCCTGTACAGTACTGACCTACAGAGAAGCAGTTAATTACTGTACAGAGAAATGCACAGTATTGTAGTAATAACAAAAATACTTTATTTTATATTATTTTATTTTATTTACAGATGCATCGGAACTCACTGTTGATCAAGAAAATGGCTTGTGTTACAATGTTGGCAACTGCATTTGTGGTAATATCCCTTGTACCCGTGTCTTGGGCCTCCACTTGCCCTTTGGTCCTCAAAACAAATGCACAGGTGGAACGAAGGCTACTGAATGAAGGCTTCCACAGGTGTGTGTTATTCATTCACATTATTGAACTTTAGATTATGTGTTACACTGCACAGTATAGTACATCTGTATAGGGCTGCCATAGTAATGTTTGTAAGAATGTCAATAATCCCCCTCTGCTGGGTTGTATCCGTAAGAATAATCTAGGGTGTTCCTTAGTGGCACATGACACTTCCTGTTGGTCGAGTATTACTGTATCAGATACACTTTACTGTACAATACTTATGAAATATGTGTGTGGTAAGCAACTGGTAATAAAAGAAATTAAAATTAAAATGCTACGCAGTATGCTGTTCTTAAAGTTTCACTGGTAACATATGTAGATTACCGAATCCAAAAGGTATGAAACACGTGGTACCATATTTATTTCATTTAGTCCATATAGCACGTGGACTTCAACATATACCGTAATCAACGGTAAAATGCTACTCCCACCACATAAGTGGCACGGGCAATCCCCATTGGAGGTTCACGGCGCCATCAGCTCAATGAACAGGCTTTTTGTGAAATATAACGAAGTCTAGGATTGCTTTTAGTGTCCTTGTGGCAAAGGTGGTAGCGTTCCCTGGAAATATAACGAAGTCTAGGATTGCTTTTAGTGTCCTTGTGGCAAAGGTGGTAGCGTTCCCTGGTCACACACATAAGTTCGAGGGTTCGAGTCCATATAGCACGCGAGACTTCAACATATATATATATATATATAATTTTGTACTTAAATGTACTACACTAAAGGAATAAAAAAAATTTTCTTTTGCAAACTATGTGAAAATTTGAGTATAGACATTACATAGTTTGCACTGTCACTTGGAATCGAGTATGATGATTATCCAGCTATGCTACAATGATATGAGTTATTAAGGATATCACCTAGGTTGGTGAGCTCTGAGGTGACTAAAGAGGCCGATACGGGACCGACAGGGTCGATCACACGTTACATATGTGGTGGGCTACATCTAGTGCGGGAGGGGTGGTGGCAGCGTCTTTCCGGCTCTGGTGCTTGTCTCCCTCGGTTTACAGTTGGGCTAATTCGAAGGTAATGACACCTTCTCGTGTGATGATCCTCCAAGCGTTACGGTGTGTAGTGATCGTCTCCGAGGTGAGGGTGTTCGATTTGGCACTTTTTCAGGTTTGTCTTAAGACTGTCCTTATACCTTTTCAGTTGCCCGCCAGCATTACGTTTATTATTCGTTAGATGACTGTAAAGTAGCTGCCTTAGCAGTCTACTGTCATCCATGCGGGTAACATGGCCAGTCCAACGTAGTTGTTCTTGGATAATGGTAGCCTCGATGCTCCTACAGTTGGTGTCAGCGAGAATACTGGCATTTGTTCTCTTGTCTTCCCAGCGAACTCAGAAGAAGGAACGTAGACGAAGTTGGTGAAAGTTTTCAAGTCCATTGAGGTGCCTCCTGTATGTAACCCATGTCTCACTGCCACATGGCAGGGTGAGGATGACCACTGCTCGAAGAACGTGCAGCTTTGTAGATAATTTCAGCTCCCTACAGCTGAAGACACAGGTACAGAGTTTGCCAAAGGCTTGAAATGCACATCTGATCCGATGTTGAATCTCTTCATTGATATCTGCGGTGGTGGACAGGTAGGAGCCGAGATACTGATAGTGGGTAATATTAGAGAGGGTAGTACCGTTAAGCTGGATGGATGGTGGAGGTGTGGCTCAACCAGGGACAGGTTGAAAGAGAATCTGAGTCTTGCACACATTCACCTCAAGGCCAAAGTGTGCATATGCATCTGTATAGGTGTTCGAAGGATCTCCTGTAGGTCACGTTAAGTGTGAGCGACAAGGGGAGGTCGTCTGCATACTGAAATTCAGTAATGGAAGCTGCCGACACCTTTGTTCCTGCCTGGAGTCGTCTTATGTTGAAAAGACCCCCCTTCACTCGGTACTCAATGTCCACCCTGCTGGCTAAATTGGCACTGGTACGAGTAAGGAAGGCAGCCAAGAAAATGGAAAAGAGAGTTGGTGCCAGTAAACACCCTTGTTTTACCCCCGTTTGGATGGGGAAGAACTCAGACTAGATCCCATTGTGCAGGACACTGCCGTTCATGCCATCATGGAGCTGCCTCACAATAGCAATGAATTTTGGCGGGCAGGCAAACTGGCTGAGGGTCCGCCAGAGGGCTTCCCTGTTGACCGATTCGAAGGCCTCAGTTAGGTCGATGGAGGCCATGTATAGGTCACGAAGCTGTTCTCTGCACTTTTCCTGTATCTGGTGGGCAGCAAAGATCATGTCAGTGGTGCCACTTGATGGTCTAAGTCCTCATTGAGATTCTGGGAGTAAGTTTTCTGCCTCAGGTAGTACAGTAGTCTGTTTTGCCAGCTATGGACAGCAGCGAGGTCCCGCGTTAATTGCCACAGTCTGACCTGTCTCCCTTGTTCTTATAAATATTGACGACGGAGGCGTCTTTAAGAGCTTGGGGATTTCCTCCTTTTCCCATATATTCTCCAGGAGAGAGTGGAGACGGCTGGTAAGCACAGGTCCTCCTGCTTTATACACCTCGGCTGGGATTCCATCAGGCCCTGAGGCTTTGTTATTTTTCATCTGTTTGATGGCAGTAGCTACCTCATCCAGGGATGGAGGATAGCTGAGATGGGTCAGCTCTGGATGTTGAGGGACCTGCTGGGTAGTCAGGACATCCACATCAGTGTTTCGGTTGAGCAGTGAATGGTAGTGCTTTTTTCCAGCATCTTTAATTATGGAGTTACTATCGGATGAGCGGAGGGTGGCTGTGCTATGAGTGATTGGCCCATAAAATGTTTTAGTGGAATTGAAAAAATTCACTCATCTTGTATTGATCTGCAATTTTTTGCATTTCACATGCTTTGTTTTTAAACCAGTCGTTCTTTAGTTTACGAAGTTCGCGCTGGGCCGCCGCTTTCTTCTTGCGGACCTAGACTGAGGGTTGTTCTGCCAGTCAGTTAAAGCAGCACTTTTATCATTTACGAGTACTGTACATTGATTTCCGGGTCATTTGCATCAAACCAGTCCTGATGTATTCTTTCGATCTGGCCATTGGGATTTCACTTGCCTAGTCCATTTCTCCCTATGGTTCTCTGCCAAATGTCAGCACCTCTGCGAACTCTGTCATTGAAGTCACCAAGGAGCACAACCTTATCTTCTCTGGGGATAGAGGTTAGCATTCTATCAAGGTCGGCATAAAAGGCCTCTTTGATGTCATCCTCTGCATCCAGTGTTGCGGCGTATGCACTGATAAAAAAATCATGACTTGAGTGATTCAGTGGGACTCTGAGCATCATGGGGTGCTCGTTGATCCCAATAGGCATTTCAGTTAGCCTGTGTAGGATGCCTCGGCGGATGGCAAAGCCAACAACATAAATGCGGTTTCTCTTGGCAGCAGGCTTACCCTTCCCGAAGAAGGTGTAGCCATATCCCCGTTCTGTGAGTCGACCCTTGTCTGGGAGCTGGGACTCACTAATGGCTGCTATGTCAATGTTATATTTAGCCAGCTCTTTTGCCACACGGGTGGTTCTTCTGCCAGTATCCAGAAGGGTCCTGACATTCCATGCAGCGACCATAAGAGGTATAGTTTGTTTTTGTTTTTGTTTTGATCTGTGATTATAATTGTGTTTTTGACTGCTTTAGGATGACCTTACTGGGTGCGGTTGCCCAGTCAGGTTGGTTCTTTAGGCAGGCTATGTTTAGGGCACTTTTTCTAGCCCCCTCCCCATGTGGGATGAACAGAGTGGCTCCTCGAAAGGGCCGCTCAGTCGCACAGACAGGACCGGATTGCATATACAGTACTATATATAATGAAGAGGAGAACCATGGAAAACACAAACATCTTGACTAAGTTGGGTGCATTCTGTAACTTGAGATCCATTAAGTGGGGAAAGATGGAAAGAAAAGCTAAAGGATGACATGTACTCTCCTGAAAATTTAAAAATTAACTTATCAAGCAAATTTTTTTTTCTGTTTCAGAGATTTGGAAACAACAGTATTTTTGTCTTCCCCAGAGGACCTACAGTCATGTTTAGTTCTCATTAAAGAAGTCCTCCCTCCTGGCTCTTATGTAGACCCTAATCAACTCCGCTTCCTCAGAGCATTTGGGGGTCCTGATTTCCATGTTCCACAGGTGAGCTTATTCTCATATATATATATATATATATATATATATATATATATATATATATATATATATATATATATATATATATATATATATATATATATATATATATATATATATATATATATATATAGTTAACACTGCACTGATAACAGTTAATACCACAAGTTGCTAGTCATCATGTACTGTAGTGTATATCACATACTGTATAAGAATGTACTATACTATATGTATAATATCTCGAGAAAGTATCTGCCAGGATGGGTCTGATTACTTCTGAAATGCTACATGCAACTCGTGATGTCCCGGGAGGGTTGGTATGCATGGCTCTGTGGCATACTGATCCTACTGCATTTGGTAACCGAACATCATATTAATTACGCTGATATAAATACACATTGCATTACTTATGTTAAACTATGTCCCAATGCAGTATCTATCATCCGTCGTCTCATAATGTTTCACAGTGTGGACAGATACTTTTTTGAGATACCGTACAACCGTACATGAATAGTAATTTTTTCCAATGGAAGCTCCAGGAACTAGTTTTATTGATTATGCTGTTGATAAAGAGAGCAGTATAGTAACTTTAGATCTTAGCTTATATATGTATGGAGGGATATTAAAGTAATACAGTATAGGTGTTGACTATTGTACGATGGAGTTAGGGACCTCAAAAAGTTGTAACATAGTAATCGATCGTATATCGATACAGTATTTATGACTTATGGGGGAAAATAGTTTCTTTTCCTGAGGCCCTGCAAGCTAGAGTAAGTACTCACAGTAGTTATTTTTCAACTTGTAATTTTGAGTAGACATACGTACTGTAATTTTCTTGTTTGTTTTGTGTTTTGTTTTTTGTTTTTTATACTTTGATACATACACACACAGTCTTTCATACAGAATGTACAAAAAAATATATATATATAATAATTATCATAAGATAAAAAACAAAGGGAATAAACATTTCTTGTGTCCACAGGAGTTTGTGGATCATGGGAGGGGAGGGGGGGAGCAGGAGGAGGGGTGCAGCATCAGGATCTGTGCCTCCCTTATCAGGTCAAGCTGTGAGATGCATTATTGGTATTTTTCAACTCACAATTTCTGATAGATGTACTGTACGTAATTTTATTCATATGCAAAAAAAAAGGATATATATATATATATATATATATATATATATATATATATATATATATATATATATATATATATATATATATATATATATATATCATAAGCTCAAAAACATAAAGGGAATAAACATTTCTTACATGTGCAGGACTTAACACATATAGTGGGGGTGGGGGAAAGGGAGTAGGAGCAGCGTGGGGGATCTCAGCTCGCTGTCTCATCCCATGTGTAGTGACATGTTTGCTAAATGGTAGTGGAGTATATTTTTCTTTTATTTTATTTAATATTATTTATACCTCACATTTACTGGTGTAGTATATATTATTTTATGTACAAAGAATAACTTCCACACTCAAACCATCCTCTTGATGACGTGACACTGTTCAACTGCTTGGCCTGGCAGTCACCAGGGACAGGCAGAGTCTCCCACACATCCTGCATTGGTCATACAAGTTATGCCATTCGGAGATTGCGTTATTATATATCGAAATACAAGTATCGCAAGTTATTGCACATCACTTTTTCATAGCAGTCACAATGCAGAAAAGGCATTTTTGTAGCAACCATCGTAAGACTGATCGTAGCCCTTGCATAGTGGTAAATGGTGTTAATTTTTTAACATCGTAAAACTGATTGATCATATATAGACCCATTGTGTTACTGTCATTACCCGTACGTAATTTTTTAATTTCTTTTACTTTGTTATATGCACACACAATTATATGCACACACATCTTTCATACAAAATGTGAAAACAAAATATGAAAGAATAATTACGGTATCATAAGGTTAAAAACATACAGGGAATGAACATTTATTAAGTGTGTGCGAGTTATCACAGAGCGGGGGAGGGAGGAGCACTGAGGGGGATTTCTCAGCTGTTCTGTCTTATGTCCCATGGAACAATTGCCAAATAAGCAATGCAGTATTTTTATTTTATTTGTTATTATTATTTTTTCCTCGTATGTTATTTTATGTACAAAGAACAGCTTCTTCCACATGCAAAACCCCCCTCTGGGTGACGTGACACAGTTCAATTGCTCATCCTGGCAGTCACCGGGCTTAGGCAGAGTCTCCCACACATCCCGCGTATTAAGCCATTCCAAGATTGCATCATCATATCTCAAAATATTGAGAGTTATTGCACATCACTTTTTCATAGCAGTGACATTTCAGGTAAAGCACTCGAGTAGCGACCATCATAAATCTGATCTTAGAAATCACATAGTGGTATTTGGTGTTAATTTTTTAACATTGTAAAACTGATCGATTGTATATCAATCAATTGTATAACAGTCAACACCTGTATCAAGAAACTTTTGTCTTGATACTTGGGTAATATCAGGGTACAGTATATGGTCCTGTCCTGGGTGATGTCATCAACAGGTCTGTACTTGAGAGTATTTTGTAATGTCATTAACCATGACTCATGTTGATGGGCTGAGTGTGCCTGATAGTCAGAACTACATATGAATATCCCACAAATATGTTGGAAAAGAGAGGCAGTACTTTTATTGAACTGGATACCCCATCAGGCTTTTTGATGAGGACCAGAAAGATAATATAATGGAAAGGAAACAAGAGAAAGTGAAGATAAACCAGAATAGTGGAGAAGAACAACAGTTTGATGTAAGTCAAGAAGTGAATTTGTAAATACTGTAATAGCAAGGTGGTTGTTTTGAGATAATTTGCAGTAGGGATGTAAAAAGTACAGTTATTGGATAGAGAGAAGATAAAGAACATAGCTTTTATGTTTTGTTTTGATTTGTATGAATGGTTAGAAGTGTGCAAACATTTGATATTTTTAGATAACTCTCAGGACTGATTGTTGAGGTCAATCTGTTAACCATGATGGATTGAAGCATTTTTTCCACACACTTGCTGAAACTTTCAAGCTATGATGAAGATGGCTTTTGTATTAATCTATAAAATTCAGGATAGTAGGTTCTCATTGTCACCTCTATTATGTATTGTTGAATGTCCTAAGTTAGTACTGTATGGTATATAACTGTTGTATGGTTTTCTGAACAGATTATTAATGTGGAGACTCCAGAACATCTGTCGCCCCGAGTTCTTGCTTACTTCTACATACTTCCTCAGCCTATGAGTGATGGACGATGGCTGGTGAACATAACTGTTCCCATCCACCTACGCTATCACAGGTATAGATGATAGACAGTAATATTGTCACTGCTATTTTGTGCCAGAGGACATGTGCATGGTGGGGTAAACTTAGTTTATACTGTACCATTACTCTACCAAGAACATGTTGTGGCTGGTGCCTGTACCGGACTCTCACATTTATTTCGGTCATTTATCCAGTACTTCTTAAAGCAGTACAGTATAATGTTTCCATATTTTTACATTAATGTCAATGACAGTAATTATTGCTGCATTGGAAATAGTATTAACAATGATCTATGACATTATGTCTTGTCAAAATTAAATTCTGTATAATGTGAACAAAACTAGAAAACTAGTGCAGTTTAATTTTAAATATAAGGAACTGTCATTGAGAAACAGGAGACACAATGAAGAATGCTTTGTTATTAAAGTTAACTTTAATAACAAAGCATGGAGTTGACTTGAGGGTAGACTCTCATATTGTTTCTAAATTTTGTTGTCTTGTTTCTGATTATTTGTTAGAGGATTTTCCCATTATAATTATTTGTATATGTTTTTTTTGTGTATGTGTGTGTGTGTCTATGCACACACACACACACACACACACACACATACACCACAGGTTAAAGAAATTACTGTCTCTAGTATGAATGGCTCCCTGTCCCGGCCACAAAAATGCCAGCAACTTTAAAACTACCCTCAGACATATTTGGGTACATCCAGGGTGTCATCCGTGAATAATTGAGGTCCGCAAATTAAAAATCCGTGAATTGTCAAAGCATGTTGTACTAATATACTGTAGTTGGTTTTAAACGAAAAAATTAACCCATGCGTTGGAGGGGTACCTGTTATAAATAAGGCGCTGCACGAGTGTGAAACAAAGTTTGCCATCAAACTGCCCCGACAGCGACCACTGAATCTTTTCATACATTTCCACCACAACTTGGTTTTGTGAGTGGCCTGCTTGGTATACATGATTCCATTGTAGCAGATTTTTTAACCACGTTGTTAATAGTTTTCATGGCAATAGGCATAAGTAACATTTACGGATATAATCTCATAAACACCTAACACTAGGTATACACATATCCTCTGTCATCTCCACAGCATGATGTGGTTTTGCCCAGCCAGACCCAGCGGCCAGTTGTCGTTAATTGCCTTGCCAATGACATCGTAAGTCTCACATATAGAAGAATTGCCAAAGATACCGGCTTACTGCACCTCAGTGGCATGGTGAGGAAGAGGGGAGGGGGACCTTGGATCACTGAGTGACGGTCAAAGTCAAACTCAGATGATTATCAGGTCAGTAATGACTGTTATGGGAATATTAACAATCAAAACTTAATAGAAATTACACAGAATTAGAAATCACACTTTACTCAATAACCAGCCCTAAAAACCCCACCTTGAGTAGAAAACAATTAAATAACCACCAACCCACCTCAGTCAAATGTTGACCTTCAACTAGTCTCAATACTAGACCAATTTGGTGTGAAAACTGCCAACCTGACAACTCTGGGGAGACTTACCTTATCATATTTATCAAATGGTCACCCTTTAGAGGTGTCCATGCCAAGGGAAGGAGGACAGTTGCCTGTGTAGGTTCCCTGTATTGTTCTTGGTAATTTTGTCAGGGCTATTTTGAAGTCCAGTACTGTTCTGGATTCCACATAGTTCTACCACACTCTGTGTAAAGAAATACTGTATATCCTTATATTGTATTCATTCTACATGATAACTTGGCAAATTTTTCGTTATGTCCCCTCGTGTTGATGGTACAGTACGTGACAAGGGGTGTGAAACTGTGGATTATCCTGTTCGCCGGTTCCCTGTAGTTCAGTCCTTGTTACTCAATTGTGGCTACACATCAATGCTGCATAATCCGTATTACAGTGATCGTTTATCTGTTATTTCCTTTTTTGTTTGTATCTTATCACACACGAGTTAATTTCACTGTTTCATGCCTATTCATTCAGCCCTTACTATGGTGCTGCATTGCCACATCTCTTACCCGATCCCTTGCACACTCCCAAGATGAGGTACGTTCATGTGAAGGCAACTGTACCTGTATATCAGCATCCATCTTGGGTACTTGATGGCAAACTTGTCTGTGATTTTGCTGATGTCTAAATCCTTTGCATGGTGAATCTGTATCAGAGCCAGCACCCATTATCACCCACCCTAATCATCTCCCTCCATAATCTGTTGTCAGTGGTGGTAACCCTTGTCATGTGAGGTTATAACTCCTGTCACCTTACATCTATTGCCCCTTACTTGGCAGTTCCTTTGAAATGTTGACAAATTGACACCGGTTGTTGACCAGAGGCAGGTGCTAATGTAGAGATAAATTACCTACACTTGGTATAGGTCACTAATTCCATTTAAGATTTATACCACTAGCCAGGAATGTGTATAAGTTGGTAGGGGACGAGTTGGTCTTGGTACGAGTTAACATTTGACCTGACCTAATGCCAGGTGAGTTATACGAAAGAGTAGAATTAAGTGTGAACACCACCTATTCATGTAAGGATGTTGTTGCTTTATATGTTTTGTTTCGTTTATCTTAATATACATTATAATTAGTGAAAAGAGAAGAAGTAATGATGAATGTGTTCTCAGAAAGCTTGAATTTGTTTGTGACTTTGACGCTAAATTTTCTTTATTTCAAACTTTTTTCCAATCATATCTTGAATGTTAATGTGTTCAAGTAGTTTTATCTTTACATACATTATATTCAGCATTAGAGTGAGTCTGAACTGGGTATCCTGAACAATTTTATATGGATTTATTTGCAATATATCAATAATAATCAAACTTATGTATGAGCCAAGGAGCTGCAAGGGGGTGGGGCTTGTACTGTCAGCTAAAAAAGTAGCAGACGTTCCTTTAATGTTATTTCTAAATACAGTTAACCCTTCCTATTCATGGGGGTTAGATTCCAAGGAATGGAACAAATTGGCAAAACCGTGAATAGCACAACTTATACTACTTTAGTGCACTACTGTATACTTATACAGTGTATGAGAAACTAAGGTCACCAATACTACTCGCCTTTGTATGTAGACGTCTGGAGCTTGATGAAATGCACTGTACATTAGGATGAAGTATGGTTACTGAAGCATAGGGAGGTCATCAGGATCACTGTTGGAAGAGGGTGATGCAGTGATGGTTGGTGGAGAGCCATGTGGTGGGGAGGCAGGTGGTGGAGAGCCATGTGGTGGGGGTGGTGGGGAGGCAGGTGGTGGAGAGCCATGTGTGGTGTGGTGGAGGGAGGCAGGTGGTGGAGAGCCATGTGGTGGGAGGCAGGTGGTGGAGAGCCATGTGGTGGGGAGGCAGGTGGTGGAGAGCCATGTGTGGTGGGGGAGGTAGGTGGAGGAGGCAGGTGGTGGAGAGCCATGTGGTGGGAGGTGGGTGGTGGGGAGGCAGGTGGTGGAGAGCCATGTGGTGGGGAGGGCAGGTGGTGGAGAGCCATGTGGTGGGGAGGCAGGTGGTGGAGAGCCATGTGGTGGTGTGGTGGGGAGGAGGCAGGTGGTGGAGAGCCATGTGGTGGGGAGGCATGTGGTGGGGAGGCAGGTGGTGGAAAGCCATGTGGTGGGGAGGTAGGTGGTGGGGAGGCAGGTGGTGGAGAGCCAGTGTGGTGGGGAGGCAGGTGGTGGAGAGCCATGTGGTGGGAGGCAGGTGGTGGAGCCATGTGGTGGGGAGGCAGGTGGTGGAGAGCCATGTGGTGGGAGGCAGGTGGTGGGGAGGCAGGTGGTGGAAAGCCATGTGGTGGGGAGGCAGGTGGTGGAGAGGCAGGTGGTGGAGAGCCAGGTGGTGGAGAGCCATGTGGTGGGGAGGCAGGTGGTGTAGTGGCAGCAGCAGCTGACCAAGTAGGTGAGGGAGATGAATCAGCTGGGCGAGCCGCTGGTTCTTTCTTGAAAAACATCGTGATTGGTAGTTGTTTCCTCTTGGCTTTGACATCTCTAAACGTTTCACTCCACTAGCATCACTAACACTAACACTAGGCAGTCTGTTAGGGGCCATTTCATTACAACATAAGAGATGCTGTGTCATAGGCAATGGTTGAGCACAAACAAAGAGAGGGGAGTTGCTGCGGGCATGTGAGGGTGATTCGTTGTGCTGTGAGCAGACTCGTAAGCTAGCCACCATCTACTTACCGCAAATAGTCCAAATCACGAATCGCAAACCCGCAAATAGCAGGGGTTTATTGTACATCAAATGGTGTGAACTGACTTATGGTAAATTAATTATGAAAATGTTTGGCAGCTAGTACACATCCTCTACTATTACGTCATGTGGCCTAACCCTGATTTCGGGGCAGAGAGTGAAGTGTGTTCACCTGTACTAGGACAGGTAGTACAGGACTCAGTGTAGTAGAAAAGAAAAAGGTAGAACACATTTTATGACTGTGGTTTCTGCAGAAGTCTCAGAATGTCATATTAGAAAACAGCGAGTGTAGATATATATACAGGTACAGGTATATATGAAAAACATTACATTTCTAGGGCTCGGAGTGGAGAGTCTTATTCATTGGAGGTCCCAGTGAGATTACAACACCCGGCTGTACTTGTCCAGTGTGAAGATGTGGGTGGAGATGCATGCCGGCCTCTTGTACAGCTGGAACCATGTCCTCCAAGTGGTGTGCAGCTGTGTGAGTGGCTGCCTGTAAATACCTTCAGCGTAAGTATCATCTGTTGGGTCTTTTATTGTACAGTATTATTGTCTTTTGTCATACTTGATGTGAAAAACGATGGTGGGAAGAATACAGAGAATTCAGTTTTGTCTTGTAAGTGTTTTCCTGCCGTGGTACAGAGTGGCTGGAATCAAGAGCAAATACAGACTTTCCTTTCAGTCCCCATTACTGCCATGACTGCTTGAACCACTCAACATCATTCTTTTCTTTCATTACAGTAATAGACTCTGTTACTTCCTTTTTGGCCCCCCCCCCACCAGCCCCACCCCTTACAGCTCCTTCTTGATCATCCCATTCTCCTCTTGAATTATACTATGGATGGTATGTATTCTCTTTTTCTTTTCATTTTCTTTTCTACCAATCTGCTTATTTTTCTCCATTTCCCTATACTCTTTGCTTCTTTTACCTCTCGTTACTTGCAACTGACTCTCATACTTTGTGCTCCTCTCCATAATTACCTCTACAGTACAAGCTGCTTAACTCTTAAACAGCAAAAATCATCTGTGGAAGTTAGCTGTAGAGACGGTGATCATCGTCTGTAGAAGTTAGTTGTAGGGACAGTGGCCATCATCTGTGAAAGTTGTATGTTCTTTGAATTCCATTTTTGCAAATCTGGGGGAATCCTTAGTCACCAATGAAAGGTTAACAGCAATATCATTATCCAAATGGCCTGTAACTAAGCAATACAAGATCCCTAGGCAATGATGAGTTGTGATACATCTAATGGGTCACTTACAGAAACCCATCAACCTTAAATAGAACTTTGTCTTTTGGTCTGTGTCCTGAGCTTTGATTCACTAATATACAAGATTTTGTCAAAGTATTGTACACTCACCAAACACTTCTCGAACTCTATAAGCACTATGCAATCTGAAAAATGAACGAAGAATCTAAAATTCTTCCAAGATGGCAAGCCCCTATTCTGCTCATTCTCATATCCATCGTGCCCAGGTGTTCAAGAAGTTTTTGTTGAGAGTGTACAAAGATACTTTTCCCATTGAGAGAGAAAGTTCCCTTTTGATTAAAGATTTGTTTTGATATTTACCATATGTTAATATATGTGTTGTTATATTTTTAGACGAGTGAGGCAGTTATGGGTATTGTTCCAGTGGGCAATACAGACCTGCTGGACACCGTGCTGCTCACTACCACCTGCATCACTGCTGGGGCCACACTACTGATCCTGGCAACACTTAGGAAGAAATAAATCCTTTGAGTTAATGCTTCAAGAAGTAATTACTCGTCCAAGATAATCACTTACTTAAGATTAAGCATTTTCAGTTAACATCTAGAAAACTAATGTGTTTGACTTGACACTAAATCCAGATTCTTATTTAGTTGTCACTTATAAACACTAAAGCTTTTGAGTTAACACTTAAAAAAAGATGAATTGCTTATACTGTATTTATGTTATGTTTAGAGAATTATAAGACTTCGAGTTCGCTAACTATTTTTCATGGACAGTTTCCCATCATTGTTAAAGTTACAGTCAGTTCTGCTATAACGCGATAGTTGTGTTCTTGTAAAATATCGTGTTATAGAAAATTGCGTAATAGAAATAACAGGGCTTATGGAGAAAATAGGGTTAGGTGCAGATTACTACTTGAAATCGAAAAACAGTTGGTAATTAGCCTAACACAAAGGATAGCACAGTCTAAATAAATGTTACATTCATATCTAATAATGAAATCATACAGTAAATGTAACACTTTACCTTGAAAAAATATGAATATAACTTGATGGGGGAGAAGGGTGATTTTGAGGTTGATAACATCGAGCTTCTCTTCAAGTGTTATATCCTTTCTTTTACAATCATCACCGGGAATTCGATCACCAGAATGCTTCTTGGAGATATTCTTCTTTACCATATTCACAGTTAATACCACAAAATTGGAGAAATAGTAAGCAAAAATCGCGTTACAGCAAACAAGCGTTCGCGTTATACAAATATCGTTCCGCTATTCATAAATCGCGTTAGAGCAAATTCGCGTTATCAAAACACGCGTTATACCAGAACTCACTGTACTTCAGACAGGACGAATGAAGTTTGTTGTGTACAGTATTTAGAAATAGAGGATAAAACTCGAAATATTTCTTATCTAGTCACAAGTTTTAAAATTATAGGAACCATTAAATATTTTTTCAACACTATATACAGTATGTCACTAAATAAGTTAGTATACACAATCAACTAGTATGAAGCATTGTGAACTTGTAAACCAGTTAAGAAGTTTAGGCTTCATATTACATTGAATATTATGAGGTTTTCACCCCACAAAAGAGTAGAAGTGTAATGCCAATAAATGGATACTGCAGTTAGCTATCAGTGAGTTGTTGCAAGGTATGTAGAGGCTGTATTAGTAATATGTGTTACATCTTATATATAATGTTCAACCTGTAGTGTTTGGTTACTTTTGAGACTTTAGATAACAGTGGGCCACTTTCTGTGATGATGAACATTCTTAGTTGTACACCAAGAACTTTCTCTGTGTCATTTAGAAGGAACTTTAGGTAGTCAGTTAAACATGATGGTCTCAGATACATTTGATAGTCTACAGGGCATTATTAAGTTTGCACTCTACCCCAGATTTTCTTGCTATTTTCCTTGACAGTGACCTTTCTTTAGTGCATCCATAGTTTATCTAACTGTCACTGACCCTCATTTCATACGTATGCCAGTCTAATAGTAACAGACCCTCACTACATCTGCTCAACAAGTTAAGGATAGACACATTTTGCTGTCAAATTGAAGAGATATGGGATCAGTTTTGCTCTTTGTCCACAATTAAATGATGCATGATATTGAAGTAGCCCGAACACATGTAATATTGATTTGGGATAAGTGGACTGTTGAACATTAATACTGTACTGTATATAGTTCAATAAAGACCCCGAGTATCGGACTAATTAGGCCACAGTGATGTTACTCGGACAGAATCCGTTATACGGACGTCCGTATCAGAAGGGAGGCACGACTGTCCAAAACAACAGCCAGCATATTACACTAACACAGATTTCAAGTAAAATAATCATTCTTATGATATGCTTTCAGGAAATTCAGTTGTTTTTCATTTAAAGTTATAATAAATGTAGGTAAGGTTCTAGATTCTAAAACGTACGTGTATGAGGCATGAATGGCTTTGTGCAGTGTGAGATGAAGTGGATGTGTGCAGTAATGTATACAGTATATGCTAGAGTACATTTCAAGTTTTTATGATAAAATTTTCATGCAAAAAGTAAGGAGTCGAACTATACAGTACAGGTACACATACAGTGCTGTTGTTGAGGGGTTAAAATTCATTAATTTCTGTGGGTCATTTGTGGTGAATGGTAGCTGTACATGCTCGTAGTAAGCTCCTTCATCCTGGGTTTGCCTACCATACCCCAAGATTCTTTCTTTATGTTGCTACATGAAGAACAGAACCTCATTCACTGAACAGGTGATTTTCCAGTTAGTTGAACCTCACTTTTAGGATCCCCCAATAAATCCTGCACTACACAGTGCTACAGGCTGACCTCACAAATTCATGTCTCAGAAAAACAGACTTCTTTAATCACTTATTCCACTCTATATAAACAATGTGGCTTAGAATAAAGAAAATATACATAATATAAAACCCCATTAACCTCACAGGTAATGAAACTATAAAAGTTGTGGAAAAATTACTACAATACTCTAATTGGGTTTATAAATAACAAAAATATAATATAAAACTATAAAATAAGAAAAATGAAGAGTGTGGGAGTGTTTGTGTGGGAAGTGAATGTGTGTTGAGGTGGTGCATTATAACTGTGTGGTTGAGCTTCCTCCTGATGTGACATCATGACATACACACAGCATGGCAGCCACACATCTGTGAGTCATTTGATTGTACGGTACTGTGTCGCATCGTCCAGAGGATGGTTTGAGTGTGGAAGGAGCTATATCTGTACATAAAATATGTGCTATTGTATTTTATGATATGTTATGTATCAATTTTATTGTTTATCAAAACAATGGATATGGCAGTATTCAAAATTATGGTTCTCGCTGATTTTTTTATTTAATTTTGGTGCCGATTATAGTTAAATATGCCAGTTACCCGGACTCCTGATAACCAGGACTCTACTGTATTTCTCAAAAGCTAGGATCAAATTATAGTTTGATTTAACAATGAGTAAAAGGTAATAGGTTCCAATTCTTTGTTATTCTATATTGCTGTGATGTGGGCTTCCCTGGAGCTACGTCACTCCACAACAATAACAACGACCCGCTAGATACCAAGATGTTTTGGTAAAATTGCAGTTTCACTACCAATTGGTTTTGGACCATAAATCTAGGTTTTTTCCATGGTATTTGGTGTGATTCATTCAAATTTGACCTTAATTTCTGCCGGAAAAGAGCCCTTTCTGAGTTATCACCCCCCATAGAACCTGAACTAACCAACCAAAGAAACCTACCTAACTTTACCTAACTTCCTAGCAGGGGGACAGACCCCCTCCATATTAAACAGACAGTACCTATTTTGATATCTGGTATCAATGATAGCAACTTTGTTGAAGCATCAGGGTGTAATTTCCTCTTTTTTTTTGTGGACGTGAGTGTACGCTCAGACTGAGTAAGTCAGTTGTAAACAAACATGACACGAGGTGACTTGCAGATTTACTTTAATTTCCTATATGAATTACTATCGTGGTTATTATCCATTTGCGACGGAAGTGGTATTAGACACAGTTCTTGCAATTGATGATATAACGTCCAGTGAGCCTAAAATTGCTCCAACCCAATTGGGAGTAAAACTGCAATATATGCTACCAATATTTTTTCAAATTGTTAAATAATTTTTTCCAAGATTCATGTTGTTATTTGGACATGTCGTTACTCAGGTGTCCGGTACTAAGGTGTTTACCGTATATTCTCATGTACTGTATGTGAATAAGGTTCATACATAGGCCTATACAGTATACAGAAAATAAGATTACTGGAATATTTCTGTTTAAGGGTTACTATTTTGTTGCATTATACTGTATATGTACCTTTGTTAATAATGTTAGCATGATATGTGATGATGCTGATATGAATAAAGTAACAAGATCTCTTGGGACATTGTTGTGGGATGGGAACACTGTAGCAGAAGACATCTGTTACATCATTTAGAGAGAATGAATGACTTGCTTTTGATATCAGTCATCCTGCATCATAGTTGAGAAGGACTTGTTTGTGTCAAATGGTTTTATGGGGTTATTCAGCACAGTAAAAGATTAAGAAGGTACTTGGTATAGAGTTCCATAAAATATAGATGTTGAAAGAATAAATGAAAGATTTGTGTTAGTTGTAGAGGCACTGGGTTGGGACACTTGTTCAGAGTAATCCACTGTATTGTTGAATGTTACATTTAATGTACAAACTTGATAATGTAATTTATTCATTTGTTTTGGCTCCAAACTAATAAATTTAATGTATGTCATGTTCTTTGTGTCACTTTGAAAAGTTGTAGAGCTACCACTTTATGGGTGTTGGCAAGTTGATGTGCACTTGTATATTAACTAACAATGGGTCCAGTCCCAAAGGGCCCCAATCCCCCAACATGTGATGTAGTCCAGACTGCTATGTCTAAGACCGAGACCTTTTGCAATTTTAGCATTTATGGATCACCTAAACATTAGCTTTATTATATGGAAACCACGTCGGGGCGAATGAACTGTGGTTAAAAATTCATATTTGGGTAATTATTTGTCCTGATGACCCTTGGAAATATTTAATTAATTTCACGATGCTAGTTATTCCTGACCTAAGATTTTGTTCATAAAACTCTGGTGTTTTTGTGTTTTTCTGAATCTAAAATAGTTAAACATAATTTCCAATTGAGAAGGAAAAAGTTTTTTTGGGGCATAAGGCCTTTCAACCATAATCTTAAAATATCAGTTTTGTTCAAAATATCAACTTATTAAACATACCGAATTTGTCAACATGAATTTGAGTAATAGCATGTACAAACAAGAAAATTTTGTGATTAAGAAGATTTTTAACCAAGTGAGAGGGTTGGGGTCATCTTACCTTATGACCTGAATATGGTGGACACCTGCTGTCCCTATGGATTTAATCTCCTTTAATGTACATATTAGCCTTGTCAATATTTACTCCTAATCTGTTCCTACCCCTAAAGATGTAAATTACACGAAAGTGCTTAGTAATAGCATAGTAAATTTTGTGATTAAGAAGATAAGTAAGGGTTGGGTCACTACCCAATGACCTGAATATTGTGGACACCTGTTGTCCCTTAGGGATTTGATCTCACTCTCCTCTACTGTACTATCGTGCACCAAAGTCGTGTTCACTACCCAGCCACAGTGAGGGTTCGAATAGCCTTGAGTCTGAAGTTTCGAAACAGCTGGGGGAAATGCTATGGTCGGCCAACAGATGTCGCCCACTGTAGTGTGTGTGTGGGGGGGGGGTTAGTCTAGTAACAGGCTGTGTGTAGGTGGAGCATAACATCATGAATTCCGCAATCACTGATAACAATAAGAATGTCATGAAGATAGTTAATATTATTAAGCATAGTGAGAGATGTGTAACGAGTAAATAAAAGCACTACAACGACCATATCTCTGCCGTTCATGGTTACGACAGACTGATGAGCTCACCAGTAATTAATTCTCCGTGACTACCATTACTGGTAGCCACGGAGAATACACAAGTTGTTACCAAGGTTGGCGCCACCCACACCAGGGGAAGGAGGTGATGTCGAACACTGAAACA